TGAAAAAACATGCCGACAAAATCGCCATTCGACGGAGCAATTATTCTTTGGGGATCGGCATTTTTCAAACAAACTTCGTCAGCGGATACAACTAAAGACGTTACGCGCTGGGGTACTTTGGCTGAACCAAGCAACGAAATCTGCTCCACTGACGCCCCTCGCCGATAGACAGGTACACTCCGAGGTATATACTTTTTTATTCAAATATACGAGGATGATATTTTCAATTTTATTTGGTATGCATTTGTAGCAACAGCATGATAACATTTATTTGTTTTTATTTGCATAATAAATATTCACTATCACTGTATGAGGTAAGAATCAACAGCTTTTTATCACATTTACACAACACTTTAAATATTCACTATCACTGTATGAGGTAAGAATCAACAGCTTTTTATCACATTTACACAACACTTTATGAATACAAGTCATGAACAAATCTTAAATATGGCAGGGGATGTGTTTACTTTTTTAGTTTTGATTTTGAGCAGCAAATTTTGAGTTACATATTGGTGCTCACTAGGAATGCATAAGCAAAATTGCACAAATTTTCACTTGAAAGAATAGTGAACAATCTTGGGATTTTTTTTCTGTTAAAGTTTCAAATGGTGTGTAAATTGAATACACTTCATCTTCAGCATGTTTAGTGCCACTTTTGTAAGTAACCACGCCCCCGGCTAGGCCACGCCCCGGCCAGGCCACGCCCCTTCCGCTTTTTTCATCACTCGCCATTGCCATGTATGTATTTAGGTCCAATATGGGTGTCTTCGCATACGGTTGTTTCACGTAAACACAGCACAGCCATATCGGATATAATGTGCGTTAGAGCTGGGCGATTTAGATATAATAATCATTTTTTTATATATATAGCCGTCGTCCTTGGCGAAGGTGAGCGGATGCTGCTCTGTCAAGGAGGGGAAGGAAGCTCAATTTCGGCCGACATCATCAAATGTGTCCGTTTATTTAGACGTGATTCTACTCTGCGTTCCTTTTCAAGAAAGTGATCTGTGACCCTGTCAGACCAACAAGGCGTCTTTTCCAGGAACTTAACTAGTGTCCTACAACTACAGCAACTACAATAAAACCCACCAGTAATAAAAGATTAATTCGTCGCTTATCGTTTTCAACAAAGAGAGTGTCGCTAAAATGATTGGAAGTTGTCTTCAGTTCAATTGAGAACAGAATGAGAATTGAAAGTGCTCCCACTGATGCGTACACTAAAAGATCGGTGATTGGCTTATTTTGATGTCAATCAAACTGTAGAACAGATAATCCAATCTGATGCAGAAAAACTGAGCGGTCTGGTACCCGCCCACTGCCATCCAGTCCCAGAGACTCCGAGCGTCCGTGGGCGGGACAAAAACCAGCTTGTATCCAATGACTCGTCTCCGTAATGAGAATGGAGTCGCGTCGTAACCAGTAAGAAGAAGCTGATTCGGAACAAAAGTTGAGCACGTTGTAGCGCATATTAGTCAATGACATGTACACACAATGACATTTACATTCATATATTTGATCACTTATTCATTGACATTTTAGGGGAAACTGAGCTTCCCTTGCAGTCCGAGAGCAATCGCCACTGAGAGAGAGAGAGAGAGAGAGAGATATATATATATATATAAAAATAAAATCTTTGGGTGAATATTCGTTATTTGAAGAGGTATTCCTGAATAGAATTTACCATTGACTTTAGCATTAGCACTGCCGATGGTTTTTAAAATGAAGCATGTCTTTAAATATACAGTTTGTTTAATTCTTTTTGGTTCTGTGGTTGGATGTCATCCCCCACCCCCACCCACCACACACGCGCACTCACACACACACGTCACACGCTGTTGGCAAGCAACACGGTGCATTCAATACATAGTTCCTTTTTCTTTGATTATTATGTATTTAAGATTATGAGAAGCCAAAATCTCAAGTATGACCACATTTCAATTAAATTCCGCAGCCCTAGTAAGTGTCACTTGAAGTGTACATGCAATTAGAAAAAAGTTGTACAGGCATTAAATTGGAATTGGGTGCTTGGCTGTGCAGTGTAAATAAGTCTTATGCACCTTGTGATTGACTAGTGACCAATCAGTCAATTAATTTCTCTTTCGCCAACAGTAAATTGGGATAGGCTTGATGTATGGATGGATGGATCGAGGGATGGGCAAACATTATTGCACTTGAATACTGTCGGGAGTGCTCTGGAGTGGCCTTCATTGTCACACGGAGCAACTTTTTTTTTTTTTTTACATCACTTTTTAAATGAATTTTTCCATTATACTTACTGTATTGCCCTCGGATATGGCAAAAGAGAGCCACAGTCCCACGTTTACTTTTCAGCCGTTTATAACCGCAGAACGATAACACACAATGAGCTGTGCACACACACGAGTTGCTGTCAACCAGCCACAGCTCAAACACAGGCACTCGGAAGCAAATTTGCTTATCTCACAAGACACTCCTGTTAAAGTCACATATCTATAAACAGACACTACAATGTGGTATTTACTTCTACATGTCATGCTTAGTTTAAAAGTGTGTTTGAATAAGTTTAAATTTATTAAAATCATTGAAGGGGAGGGGGGTTAGTCCTAAAAAAATAAGTTGTTTCTTTCTCCATATGGTCTCTTTATCAGTGCAGATTTTCTCCTCTCGTGGGTCAGTCATGAACCTATTCCCATGTGCTCTGTGTTTTGCGGTCCCGTAGAAAGGAACATACTTGCCTCAGACTTACATCATTCACGAAGAGATGGTGGTGACCGGCAAAGTGCACAACATGCGTCAGCTGGGACCCTTCATCTACCGCCTTTGCAACGGCAAAGACACATATCGCTTGAACCGTCGTGTCTCCCGCAGAGGTAAGCCGATCTATCGCAAAAATTTATCTGGAGGTCGTTGACTTCATTTTGGATTGTGATCAGACGTGTAGCACAGGATCTCAGCCCGAATGTCTCTGGCCACTTTTCTCTCACAGGCATCACCAAGCGAGAGGCGAAGGACTGCCACCGCATCCGTCACTTTGAGAATACCTTTGTGGTGGAGACGGTTATCTGTGATGAAATATGAGCAGGATGGTCACCGGTGTGTCATGGCATGCCACCAACGGCACATCCCAGTCACCTCTCCAGCTACTGTAGCACCCTGTGGATTTAATCATGTTGCACTTTACCAATGTTCTTTTCCATCCCCTGCTTATTTACCGCCCCTATAGGCACTCGGAAGCAAATTTGCTTATCTCACAAGACACTCCTGTTAAAGTCACATATCTATAAACAGACACTACAATGTGGTATTTACTTCTACATGTCATGCTTAGTTTAAAAGTGTGTTTGAATAAGTTTAAATTTATTAAAATCATTGAAGGGGAGGGGGGTTAGTCCTAAAAAAATAAGTTGTTTCTTTCTCCATATGGTCTCTTTATCAGTGCAGATTTTCTCCTCTCGTGGGTCAGTCATGAACCTATTCCCATGTGCTCTGTGTTTTGCGGTCCCGTAGAAAGGAACATACTTGCCTCAGACTTACATCATTCACGAAGAGATGGTGGTGACCGGCAAAGTGCACAACATGCGTCAGCTGGGACCCTTCATCTACCGCCTTTGCAACGGCAAAGACACATATCGCTTGAACCGTCGTGTCTCCCGCAGAGGTAAGCCGATCTATCGCAAAAATTTATCTGGAGGTCGTTGACTTCATTTTGGATTGTGATCAGACGTGTAGCACAGGATCTCAGCCCGAATGTCTCTGGCCACTTTTCTCTCACAGGCATCACCAAGCGAGAGGCGAAGGACTGCCACCGCATCCGTCACTTTGAGAATACCTTTGTGGTGGAGACGGTTATCTGTGATGAAATATGAGCAGGATGGTCACCGGTGTGTCATGGCATGCCACCAACGGCACATCCCAGTCACCTCTCCAGCTACTGTAGCACCCTGTGGATTTAATCATGTTGCACTTTACCAATGTTCTTTTCCACCCCCTGCTTATTTACCCCCCCTATCCCCCCCCCCCCCACTGTCAGATTATTTGTCCCAGCAAATGATGCAATAATAACCTGCAGGTTCTCTCACAGGATTTCCATGTAGCTAAGTCTTTTGGCCTCTGGGAGTACAATGATGGTTACTGTTGTTCGGAGAAATGACTGTCTCCCATTTGTTTTCAAAGTGACCTTTTTTTCCCTCCTGCTCTGGAGGGCTTCTTATCTGTGTGGTTAGTATCACGGTAAGATGTACGGAAGGTGAGATTGATCTATTCGCCACATCATTTTGTCGCTTCTTGATCTCTGTACTGGAAAGATCAAACTACTGATAACTAGTTGCGTTTGCATTTTTGCTTCGGCTCGTCCCGTCTTTCCTTTGCAGGGAAGAAGGCACCATGTAACCAAGACAGCGCTGGGCAGTACTGGGCATGGCTTCCAGAAGTCAAGAGCCATAATTGGATGTAGGGCCCATCATTTTTCAATACAATTAAGTTATTGAAAATAATTCATATGTGAATCATTTAATAGTATACCCTATCTGTTTCCGCCTTGCATGCGTTTTAGCTATTTGATAAGCTGTTTTGTAAGATGTACAAAGCCTTAGTCCAGACTCAAAGACTGGACTAACGTTACTCCTAATATAACAGATGGGTGCATATTATTTGATGTTGGGTAAATACAGCCGTCTTACCTGTACATATTACCCGCCTATAAAATCTTGTCTGTGAATAAAGTTTAAAAAGACTTTGTCAGTAGTCCATATATTCTTGATCTAAATGTCCAAGAAGCGCTTTGGAATTATTTGAAATCATCCATCCATTTTTCTGATCTGCTTCTAATAACGGTCGCAGGCGTGCTGGAGCCAATTCTAGCAGTCTTTGGGCAGTAGGCGGGGGACACCCTGAACCAGTTGCCAGCCAATCGCAGGGCACGAGGAGACAAACAACTTCACGCTCACACTCACACCTCGGGACAATTTAGAGTGCTCCATTCATCTGCCACGCATGTTTTTGGAATGTGGGAGGAAACCGGAGTACCCGGAGAAAACCCACGCAGGCACGGGGTGAACATGCAAACTCCACACAGGAAAGCTGGAGCGAGAATCGAAGTTTGCACCTCTGCACTGTGAGGCGGACGTGCTAACCCGTGTTCGCCTTTATATTACATCTTATTTATGATGATGAAAACCCAGCGTGCTAGAGAGAAATTGAGGGCTGATTTGGAATAATTGCAAAAAAGGAAAATGTTTAATTGCATCTCTCATTAAAAAACGTAGGTACTGTTAAGATTTGTTGACCAGTGTAATTCATGTGCATGCGTCACCACATGATTCCTGACCATGTCTCCTGGGGCACACACCTGTGGGATTTAATTGCTTGGTCTTGTGCAGCTCTCAAATTGCTATTGCTATTTATTTAGTCATTCATAATTTCCAAATTTTTGTTCAGCATAATTGTGCAGGTATTTCCACAAGCATTTGTTCCTTGCGAAAAGAAAAATCAATTGGAGTTGGTGTTATATTTCTCGAAGATTCACTGTAATCCTGACTGAATCATTTTGCTCACATACAACAGAAAGACGTCTCTCTTCCCCTTCTCGTTCTCCTTGTCTTTTACACTCTACCACCCCTGAGCTAATGCATTCATACAGTACAGTGGACACATGCTGCAATGTAAACAATATTGTACCTCATGCATTCGATGTGGGACTAAAAAGACTCGATTCATTTCCATTCGATTAAACGTTTTTTTTTAAAATTCTATTCAACGTTCAAACATTAAGTCAGGACTTGGACGATCAATAACAATTCTTATTTTCACTAATTAACATAATACATATTTGGTGATAAAGGGAGAACGTCAGTGTACTGAACCGAGGGACACCATGCAAATCGGCCAGAAATGATCCAAGGGCTTTTTGGAGAAAAGTACCCAACGACTCTCCAGCTTATCAGCAAATAGCAATTCTCGAAATTACCAGGTATCTCATTGAAAGCGTTTATTATAACTCAGAGTCTTTGTTATGCTACTACTGTATGCATATGCCGAGACTTCAAGAGCACACACACACACACACACACACACACACATATATATATATATATATATATATATATATATATATATAATTCCGGTAGAGTATACAGTACAGTATTATATTCTCACTTCTTCCTGTAGTTGGCGCTACTTCGAGAGATGGAAGTAAGTCGCACTCTGTTATATGGACACTTTTCATCTTTAACCAACAGATGTCACTGTTCAGCTATAAAACAATGACGATGACGCGGAGACGTCTTGGAAAGGTTCCCTTCATTAACTTTTTAAATACTCAATCTAAACAGCGCATTAAATCAATATTTCTTATTTTGTTGGTTGAATAAAACAAAAATACAATTGATGGGATTGGTGGACCACACACATTATCGCCATTACATTACTGAAGTAGAGGAGAGGATTCATTAATGTGTTTCCGTTCATTTACCTCAAATCTGGACCACAGCATTTCTCTGGTCACCGTATTTTCAGAATGTAATAGAATGACCACAAAGGAAGAAAGCATGGCTTCACTTAATATTCTACAAGCAATGTTCAAGCTTGTTAATTTAAGCACTTGTCGGTTGTAGCATGCAATCAAGATATTGTACTCATGGTAGTGTAAATGCACCTTTTGTTTGAGAATTCTAAAAACAGAAAAGATCATCACTTCAGTGTTTATTGTAATTCATAATTTTGTATGACTTGACTGACACCTTGCTTAAACCAAGTAAAGACTTGACTCAACATGCTTGAAATTTGAGGAGGGTATAACTGGTCTCTCTACCTGTCACACTTGTTTGCCTTACATGCAGTTTGCACATTGTGACTTACTCCCACCTCTGCAAATAGCCTCCGAGGCCTCAGTTTTTTAGGTCTGTGTACTACTGAATTGACAACATACTTCTGAGCGTTATTAGCCTCAACATAGAATGCGAATAAGTAAATACTGTCACTTCATTGCATGGAAGTGTCTTCACGATAGAACATTTGTGATTATTAAACCTTCTCGGTTGCTGTTTACATTGGCCTAATCTACAGTACCAATATGCATATGTCACAACAATGACATGATACTGTATGCTGTACGGTAGATGACACAACTTGTGGAAACCCAATATAATATCGCCTCAGTGCGCCACATTGGCCCGGTTCTGAATCATCACAACGATGCACTTGAAAATCACCCATGCACATTAATGAGGACCGTGGCTTTGGTCAGAGAATTGCGTGGAGGGGAGTGGGGTGGGGGGTTGCTGATTATTGAGGTCAAACAACATTCACATCTAGCCTTAAATTTTAATCTCAGGAAATATTTCCGTGGAAAGACGATCGTATCGATCATATCAGGAGGTTTCTTTGCTGACTGGATGAGAAAAAAAAATCCGGTGGCTATTCTGCTTCGTAATGAGCTTTGTTACCGTTTCAATGGCAGTTTGGTGAATTGGAAATCCGACTATTTAATTAAAACAAACAAACAAAAAAAAAAAAAATTCCATTATTGACTTTGTATTTTTTTCCCTGAGTGCACAAGCATATTTTTTGTAACTGTTGACTATTTTTGCAAAACTCTCCACACAAATAAGAAAACCTTTCACCAAAACCGCAAACCATTTTCATTCTCGTGCCAAAACAAATATGTCTTCCTTAACTCTTCAAACCTTCATAAAAATATCATTTTTGCATCAAACCACTAACACACTGACGGGAAGGATGAAAAACACATCTGGCTTTTTTTTCATTGCTCAGACGGTTGAAGTCACACTTTTGTCATTCTTATGTAAACTTGACAAGCTCTTGTCCGTATTTACTCTAAACATCAAAACAAATACCAAACAATTTTTTTCCCATGTCAAAACAACAAACAACCGCCCCCCCCCCAAATGGGGGTTACATCAGCCTCACTGATGTAACTGAGAGCTAGAGAGAAGGAATAAAAAATCAATCTACATTGTGTACAATCTACTGGGTCAAAGTGTGGATGATTACTGTAGCTCTGATGTCAACGGTAATTCTGTTTCTTACTTGCCATCCTCCTTTACCTTCTTGTCCTCTCCCTCTTCACCCCCCACGTCTTCTTCCACGCCTTCCTCTAACTCTCACTCTTCCTGCTCCCTCCATTGCACGCCACGGCGACAGCTTACCCATGTCCTATTTCGAGTACTAGTGAACTAATCATCTAAACCAGTCCCCCTGTTCCTCTGACAGGGTGACCGAACAGTGTGCCAAATAGTATCAATAATAGCCATAAATGTGTAGAGTTTTGCAAGGAGTGTGTTGATCATGTGGAAATCGAGTGGGAAGCGTTTGCATAGTGTGTGTTCCAAAATTACAAACTCAGGAGAAAGCCGTGTTTGTACAAAACGTTTGATTCCTTTATGTGCGTATGAAGGTGTCAAAGTCAGTCTTGTGATATGCTTCAACAAAGATTTTTTTATTGTATTTTATGTTTACAATGACTGTACTGTATGTTTACATGGCATTCATGTGGGGGGATGGCATGATTTTTTTTTGGGGAAAGGTGACTGGAGGAGTGCCAGTTGCCCTCAGGCCATCTGTTTCTGTGTGTGTGTGTGTGTGTGTGTGTGTGTGTGTGTGTGTGTGTGTGTGTGCGTGTGTGTGTGTGTGTGTGTGTGTGTGTGTGTGTGTGTGTGTGAGAGAGAGAGAGAGAGAGAGAGAGACCCTCTCAGCAGGGGGTCAAAAGTGGGAGGTCACGACCCCGCTGACCCCGTGGGATCGGAGATCATCAATCAACCGGAGGCTGGACAGAGCAGCAGGAGGGATGTGCTCTCTCTCTCTCTCTCTCTCTCTCTCTCTCTCTCTCTCTCTCACACACACACACACACACACACACACACACGGGATACAGTAAAACACACTCTGCCAGTCATCCAACATTGCTTATTGAAACTGAATGCCAAGAAAACATATACGGTCGCATACATGAATGTATGTGTGTGATTAGTTTGTTCAGATCCTCTCCTTGTTCATACTGCACCTGATGCCAGTGCAGGAGAGATGAAAAGTAAAGTGAATACATCGGCAACTCTTTCCCTCTGTGCTGTTTACATTTTATCCTGTTTCTTGCTTCCTTAATCTATACTTGTAAATAACCACACACACACACACACACACACACACACGCTATCGGGGTTATCAGCCAGCACTTGCAGAGCGACAGGCATGCTTTTTCTCTCTCCTCCCACAGCCCTCCTCCTCCTCCAGCCTGTCCCGTTGATCAATGAGGAAGTTCTTGGGCCTCAACTATTAATCAGAGCCTATCGGCTATCTGTCTGCCGAGCCGACCAATCACGGCCCACTGACAGCTGGGCCATGAAAAATGTGCCCTGGTGGACTCAGAGGTTAGAAGTGGGGGAAGCTTGCGGGGCCCTGGATGAGAGGAGGGCGGTGACCGAGCACTTGATGTCATCCGAGTCAGGTCACGGCTGCCCAACTGCACTTTATCCTGCTTTACAGTGGATGCTTAACATCACATTGACCCACCCTGCCATAATATAAGCCACGCGCACCAACAAATGCAGGCATGCAAATGTATGCGCATCTGCCAACAAGTGCACAGCTGCACAGCCACTTGCTGTAGCAAGCTAAACACACGTCGTCTCCAGCGCCAATGTCTGTCTTACCCGCCCGCTTGACTAAGCCTCACTTGGAATGAGGAAATCTGAAATAAAAGGATGGAGAAGGTGCTCACCGAGGCGAAAGGCCGGGCCCCGATGCCTAACGATGAGGTCTCTCCTCACACCTCAAAGCTTCATCAAGGCGCCAAGCGTCTCTCTTCTACATAATCACCGCTATCCATTCACATCTTATTGCCATGATTCGATTATATCTAATGCTATTATACTGCTCCCCATCTCGCTCTCTTCCCCTTTGTCTGCCTCTCTCCAACATCATGGATTCCTAGCAGATCTTATTAGCGGGTGATGTGGGCCAGGTCTCCGACTTTGGATTGATGAAGCTTCAGACTTCTCTCCTTTAATCTTCCTGTCCTCCTCCGTTCCCTTTCTGGATCTGTCCATCCATCATTCCCAGGGTTGGCTGGGCGGAAGAGTATTAATCCCTCCGTCCCATCTCTCACTCCTTTGGACAGATGAGACGGTAGGAGGGAGGAAGATGAGGATGCGAGGGGGGACCGGGAGGGGCGGAGGGTAGGGGACCCCAGATTGCTTTTCATAATGTTTCTGTAGCATTGTGGCAATAATTTGGATGCAGATTTTTTTTTTTTCCATCGTAGGTCATCATCGGCGGTTTCTTTGATGGCACCAACAACTGGACAGGTGCAAACGTGTGGGTGATTACAATGCACAAAAAGGGTTGAGAAACCATCTGTTTAAGAGCTGTTTCAAAAAAATAATGCTAATTTATGGCCAGTGACATATTGATTTAACAGTACTTTATTGTCGAGGTTGCACTCTGCAGCTGTGTTGACCTGCATTGCATGACTCCACCACCATACACTGAAAAAATGGTGGATTGAATTGATTCTATTTTTTTATTTTTTTTTGAAGATGAGCAGTAGTCTACTTCTAAAATGTATCTGGATCCAGACGATCTTATTTCATGCAACCACTTGATGAAATAAAATGGTATTAAATTCAACACACGTAACTCATACCTTATTAGCTTCTGCAGTAATGAGTCGTCTGATGTGTGTAAAAATAAGACATTCCATCCATTTTTCGATGCTCCTCATCTTGTGGGGTCTCCAAAGATGAAAAACCTTTTTTTTTTTTTCCAAGATCATATTTATCATTGCCTCACAGACGCTACGGTGGTTTACCTGCCTGATTTCCATGCAGGCCACGTGTCGCCGGCGCAAGTAAATGTGAACGCGATTGAAATATACGAAAGACCTCTCATTATAATACAATCCAGTTCTGCACCACTGTAAACCACGACCACAGTAATCCGTAGTACCAAACTGCACATGAAACTATTGATTCGTGTTGCAGACTGCCCCTCACACATAGAGTAAAAGTAATCAAGTGAACACATCGGGACATTTAATAAGTTGAGTCCTTTTAGCCGCAAGACTTCCAAAATGAGTTGGAACAAACAGAGTCGGGAAAAGAAATACACCTCACAGAGCAGCGGCCGGGGTAAAGCCGACCTCCTCCATCCATGCCTGTGCACTGACAGGTAGATTAAGGGGCGTGATAGATGCCCCTCTCTCTCTCTCCCAGCCTCTCTCCATCTCCTTCTTTCCCTCCGCCCTTTCCCTCACCGCCATCCATCATGGCGGCTGGTGTAATTGCGGCTGCGTGGGGCTGGCAGAAGGAGCCTTCATCCATCTCCTTAACAACAAACAGTCATGAGGACGGATGGTGCTGCGCTCCCCAGTTAATCTCCATCTATAAGCGGCAGGGAAGGGGATGTGGGGAGGGAGATGAAGAAAATAACAGAAGGGAGAGAAGTAGTGCCGTCTTACCATAAACAAAAAGAGATGGAGAAGGGGGGGTAGGACAAGGAAAGATGGTGGAGGAAAAGGTCAGCGCTCCAAAATGTAGAAAGAGGGGAGAAATAACGAAAGAGTAATGGCTCACATGGTGGCGAGCGAAACGAACTCTGGAGGAAAAGTTTGCAAACAAGCTGGATAAGAGTGCATTTGAGGGAAACGCGGAAAGCCGAGCAAAGTAGGGGCCCAAAATTTATGCCCGTGCGGCCAGATGACCCAGAAACTGGAGAGGCGCAGGCTCATAAAAATGCACTCTGTGCGCCCCCCCCTCCCCACTCCCCCCTCCCGCCTTTGACTGCCCCTTAACTTTTACCCTTCTCTGTTTCGTTCCCTCATCTTCTCTTTCCCCACTCACCTCCACTCCCACTCTGACATGCAAGCGCTGGAGGGTCACAGTTCTCTGATGTTTTGGGTGGTTGTGCAAGGTTTTCCAGAGGTCACAGCAGCCATATTTTCTTAATGGCCAAGTCACCGAAGTCAACTAGGCTGGGTGGCCTTGCGCGCTACTTCTTCTGTTGCTCGTTCTCCGAGACTAAACACAGACGCTTCTTGAGTTGCTGACTTTGCCCTGATTGAATGGATTCACATCTTTGGGTGTTTTAGTTTTTGTTTTGTTTTTTTTGTGTCAACAAAGTCAGACAGCAGTGCAATATCTTTTCCATAATGATGTCAGTACAGTCTGAAATCATATCATTATATCCGGGATCAAATGAAATACGTTAAGTCTTACAGGTAAGCATTCATCACACACACACACACACACACACACACACACACACACACACACACACACACACACACACACACACACACACACACACACACACACACCATGACCTATTTGCTTGCGGAGGGCATCACCTGCAGGGTGACTCAAAAGTGTACAAATCAATGACGAGGATAAGCAACTCGGATCATGGATGGATGTTATGAGCAACTTGGTCTGTGTGTGTTTTGTTCCGCATTGCTTGCTTTTTAACGTGAATCTTCCCAAGTTGGGATCTTCAGTAAACGTCTGCTGATGTTTTGACATGTCTCAGAAAGGAGTTTGGAACCACTTTTAAAAACACCATCTTAACACTCCAAAGGACACTTATGATCGGTTACTATTACTTTTATTTTCTCAAGTGGCATCAAAACAAAAATAACATCAAAATGTACACGCATACAAACCCAAACCTTAACAAATGCATGTTATTTAGGTAAAATGTAACCTCACAAATGTCATGTTCCATTTATAGTACCTTCTTTTAAAATGTCAATCGAGGAAGAAATTTACATCATTTTCTTTGTAACATCGTAACGACATCTCCCAAGGTTGCAGGTTTACAGAGCCCAGATCTTTGTCCAAGCGTCATGATTTTATTACAAAATTAAAGGTACACTTGCACAGATTACAGATGCAAACTAAGAGCTGTGTATCTTTACAAAGTCGACATTTCTCACTTCAATGTCAGGGGGTTCTTTTTCATCATTGTCGAAGCGATGTAAAGCTATCTTGACGCTCTCAGCGGAACGAGATTTACAACCAAATTATTAGTGCCGCGTATGACGATTCGGTGCAGTGACTGCAAACTGCAAACGCAATTCTCAACATTGTACAATAAACAACAGAGTGCAACATCTAATCTAAATTAGAGATGTCAAACTCAAGTCCTAGGTGCCATTATGTTATGTGGGCCAGAAAAGTAAATCAGGTGCCAGTCCTTCTAAATCTGTATCACAATTGCAAAGTATCTTCACTTTGTCTAGCGTTACAATAATACAAACATTTTTTTTTGTAACCAAATCCCCTCTTTTTTAAAAAATAAATAAAACAATAGTTGCACAAGTTTTTTCACTTGACATCTGATTTATAGACTAATCATTCATCATTTTGTTGTTTTATGCATACATTTATATGGTTTTGCAGTCATGATCCTTTGAAGGAAACCAGGAAAGTGTCCCCGTGAAATCATCTTTGTCCAGACAGAAATGTTGCTCAAAGTTCATGTTTGTAGTACCAAGGGAAACAATACACTTTAGTTTTATTTTTTTAACGACAACACTAATTTGACTGATGAAAAGGCAGATATGTGCTTTATTTCTTTCTTTCATCGTATGTGATGCCGACGCTGGTGCTCTTCGAGACACCATCAATCAGATGTGTTTACTTTCATCACAAACTTATCAACAAATGTTGTACCAAGGGCGCTCTCATTAACATGTAAAAGGAGGTGTCGTCCCACAGGCACTGATGTGATGAAAAAAAAACAGTTTTTACTTTGGAGTGTTTGGCATGTTAACTCAAGTGATCTACATCAATGGTTTGTTAGTCAAAGTGGAAATGACTAATTGAAACACAGGATAGGGAGATATAGAAAGACAGATGGAAAAACATGAAGATGGTTTGAAATTACAAACGCAGAGTCGAACCTGCTCGACAACGGAGTGCGACGGAAGTGAATTCTTTTGATTCAATGTCAACAACTTTTTTTATTCTGTTAGTACCGCAGGCTTGGTGTCGGAGCGGCTTGGGGGACTGTGGTACCCCCCCAGCCCCCTCCCATCACCCAACCCCCTCCCAGGGAAACCAGCAACCTGCAGAGTAAAAAGACCCCCTGGCCTTTGCTGCATGAGACCTTTTCGGCTTCTCCAAGCCACCCCATGCACGCTCTAACTTCATGCCGCCCATGGTGCCGACGTGGACCGGCAGCCGATTGAAGTGGAGCCGCCCCTTGGCCCCTCGCAGCAGGAGCGGACAAAGAGGGACGTTTTGAATAATTATTATGTAACTGACGCGTCATTAACAACACAAGAGTTTTTTTTTTTTAACACGTGAGGGTGATATGTCCCCCCGGACCCCCCATGTTAAGTGAAAATAAAACATTGACACCACGGAGGGAGGACCAATTGGCAACATTTGCGCTGCGTCACAAGACTGTTCACTTGAGGATATATGCGGACAATAAAACACTTTGAAAGCTATTATCAGCCTTTAAATTCCACGTCAACGAGCACACTTTGACTTTATTTATGACATACGATGTATGCCAGCCTTTACCGCAATTAGCTTCCTAATGAGCTTTTAAATTAAATTGGCCCCGGAGCACACAAAACATGACAGATTGCATCATTTATAATGTGATGTGCACGGATCATGCCCGAACAAATAATCACAGCTTCTTATTAGCAGTTCGTCTTCTCTCACGTTAAAGTGGACATTCATCATGGCGCATGCTTTAAAAGATATAAGGAGTTATCTTGCAGAGGACGCGATTAAAAAAAAAAAAAGAAAGAAAACGAGCGTGGGGTCTTCTCTGGCGTGATAAGCGGGAGGAGGAGTAAACGAGGAAAAGGAAAAGGCGGAGGGATTGGAGATGAGTGGGAGCAAGAGACCCCGTCGCGTTTTGACCCTCCGAAACCTTCCCGCACACCGCCACCATCATCACGCCTTCTCCTCCTCCTCCTCCTCCTCCTTCTTCTTCCTCTCTTCTTGAGACCGAAAACACAATCGCTCATTCCCACCCTTGACATTTTGCAGCCCGTCGCCGCCCGCTGCGTGGACAGCGAGCACAAGGACGCTCGCTCTCTTTTGGAAGCTTTCCGTCTCTTTTGGACCCTTCCCGACAGCACCGAGCATCCCGATCGGCTTGAAAGCGGGAGCGAGCGAGAGGCGCACCAGGCGGAAGCGAGGATCTCAGCCTCTGCTTTCTGGACTTAAAACACGACTCGAACACAACCGGCAGCTATTTACGTTTAGGTGGGATATTTTATACCGCTATCGTTATTTTTGTGAATTCTCTTGTGAGTAGCCTTTGATAGCATTTAGGCTATGGAAGCGTTTATTGCCACTGTGCACACTGTAAGCCCCCGCTCGCCCCCCTTCCCCCGCAGGATGCTATATGTCTTTATTTACGAGCTCGAAATGCCATCTTTTTTTACGTACATGCTATAAAATGCAAATACACTGACTGCAAAGAACACGAGCTGCTGTTGAATGTCTTCACATTTCTTCCAGGGGCACAGAGGCTGAGCCTGCTGGACTGTAGCCGGGCAGTGCATCATCATCTTGGGGGAAGGACCGACTGGCGAGTCGCATGGAGAAAAGGGTACGTCCGTGCTTGCACTCCCGTAATGTGTGTGTGTGTGTGTGTGTGTGTGTGTGTGTGTGTTTTATTTTATTTTGGGTGAGTTGCACCAACACTCGGCATGGCTGTATGTGAAAACTTAATGAGAAGCTAGTGTAAGTTGAGGGGTCCGTTGTTTTTCAGTGGATGGCTCTTCTTTACGAATGACAAATGGATAGATGGAATCCTTTAATGCAGTTTATTAAAAGGGGGGGAAAAAAGCGTCTACACCGCAGCACAACTCTCGTAACAAAAATCACTTCCTGCTTCTCTTACTTTAACAGCCAATCAGAACCAATCAATATAAAAACATGTCTAAGCAATCATTAAACAACAGAATATAATTTAGGAATGCTTAACATGAAATAATATGATGCTCAAACATAAAATGATAATTAATAATATAACATAAGCTTACACTAGTTCCTACTATTTCCCCGCCCGAACCCGAAGGCCCTGTGCTGAAGCGCTGATCTAAGCTACCGCAAATTTGGCTTTTCGGTGTTATGATGAATCAGTGTGATAGTAAACCGCTGGAGCATATTTAACTTTTAAGGCAGCCGGCCACTGTGTGGTTTACAGTTGGCTGCATTGGTGTGCGGGGATTTGTTGAGTTTTCTCGTGAAAATACAATGTTGGTTGTGCGGCGGTGCAAAATACACACAAGGGTTAGATCGTGTGGGTCATTAAGAGGAGGAGAGCAGGGGCGGCTGTTCAACTCAGTAAGTAGGTCACTTTTTTTGCTACACTGATTCAGAGGCATGGAGCAGGAGAAGTGAGGCTGCGGGCTGAGACCTCACAGAGGAGGGGAGCAATTAGAGATGGACACACACACACACGCACACACACACACACACACGCACACACACACGCACACACACACACACGGAAACGTAAAACAGATTTTTTAAAAAATAAGTGTGATCTAGTTTGTAAGATGGTGTTGCTTTTGCTGCCAGCGATCATGAGTTAAGATCAAGATGACCACCAGCGTCCGTTATTTTTCTTCATTTTTCTATTTTCACTTCTTAAGAAGATCTTCTCATCGAATGGATAATTCCTTTTTTTCATTTGAGTGGTTTTCACATTGGTTGTCTATTCTCTCCACTTTCGTATAACGCTTTTAAAGTTCATTTGGTGGTTTATGACACAGCCCCGGCCTATTTTGCTGCCGCACGAAAAGACTTTTAGAAGAGTTTATCTCCATTTGAAATTCATCACATGAATAAGTTTCAGCAATTGTTCATTCTTTAAACTCCAAGCCATTACTGTTCAACAAGGTTTAAAATGAGAAGTATATTGAAGTATACCTGAAAAGTTGAGAAACCAACAAAAAAAAAAAAAAAACAACGTCCGCCTGGTCAAAATTGCAAATACATCAAAGCGTTGTTATTTTCCGAGAAAGATGATTGTTGTAAGAACGTTTCATTTCGAGAAGCCATCTCACATCTTAGAATTTAAGGAGACGTGATTATTTCTTCTTTATTTGCAGCCAACAAAAGAAGTTGTTTTTATTTCACTATTCAACCTGAACAAAGTGTTTTTGTGGGAGACAAATTAAGTTCTCCGAGATGGAATTACTTTTCCCCGCTTCTTTCCTCCGCCGGCGGCGGCTGGACCTTTTAGAGCCCCATTATCTGTTAAAATAACACAATTACATCTCGCAATGAAAATGTTGTCTTGCCTCTTGCAAGCCGTTTGTCAACTCTGTGACTTAAAAAGGGGGGAAATTTGCGGAATTTGTCATCTCGGCCTTTTGCGCTTTGATCCACTTGATGCACCGAAACCTGATCGGGGTCATGCGTCAAGAGAGACGCGCAATCCGATAGCGCTGCTTGTGTTAATAGCCAACCTCCATAAAACTAGGAGGTGTCTCGGACCAGGGCCTCAGAGCAGGTGCTTTCTGTGATCCCGCTGGCCATATGGGACTATGAAACAATTTGATAAGCCATTTAGGACAGTGCATTCCCAAAGTGGGCCCTATTTTGGGAGGCCTTGCAGATGGGCCGGTGAAGTTGTGCGATCCGGCGTATGTGGAACCTGCAGAAATATCGTCACATAGAGAAGTGAAGGGAATATTTGCCAGTTTTAATCACATTGAAATACACCATTATGACCAGTTGCCTAATCTGCTGTGATCCAAGACAAGGGCTAAAAGTCTTCCAAATGAGTTTGGATTAATTTACATACCGGTACGTTAGTTACTGTGCTTGTTGTTTGAAGTGATATTGAAAATTCCCGCAGTATAATCTTATTAAACTAAGGAGGTTGCCAAAATATGATAAACTCCTCTGTGTATGATGCAATCCAGGTCTACGGCATTGCAAACAGTCTTCCTAAACCAGTGGTTCTTAACCTTCTTCGAGGTACCAGTTAATATGCACATTCACCGAACCCTTCATTAGTGAAAAATACATGTATAATTTTTTTTTTACAAATTCAAGATATAAAAAAATGCATTTATTAAAAACAGCAAAAGTAAATACAACTTCAAGAGATAAGCATACTTTTTTTTTTGTACGACGTACTAACACGATAGTTACACGTTGATTACTAAGCAAACTAAATTTCCCGCAGCACTGATTGGACAAGCACTGTCATGTGATCACCTACAGCCAGTGATGGCCAAGCGGGCGTGTCATAACTAATTGACATGTTGAGTCGGGTGTGTCTTAACCTCCATGGCAGAGGCTCCGTCGAACCCTTGAGACCGATTCAACGAACCCTTAGGGTTCGATCGAACCCAGGTTAAGAACCAGTGTGCTAAACATATCGTAAAGTCAATACATTTCTGACAGTGTCAATAATTAAATTTTGTTTCCAACCCCTGTATGTTGTCACCGAATAGTGTTTCTGTACTGTTGTCTTTTTGAACCAGCTACAGGTGAAGGCAAAAAGGCATTTTATTTATTTATTTATTTATTTATTTTTTGTGAATGCCCTCAGAATGGCCGGTCTTTACGTTAACCGGGTTAACCTCAAGGTTAGTGGCACAGATAATGGATGGGCGGTCATTGTTATCTATTTTTAATATCGGTGAAGGGATCATTTCCCTCACTGTTCCCTCTACAACCACAGCGTGCACTTCCGTGGTAAATCATCACCTCTGTGGTAGCCCACGGGGAGAAGTCCATCACAGACGTAAACTACACGAAGCAGATCATAACTTTTACGGCGCGTTTAAAATAACGCTGAAGTATGGGAAGAAGGGTGTCCGGGCCAATGGAGCAGGTGCTGTCTGTCGGTGTTGTGATCTCACTTGCTCTGCGGGGACCGTGACAGGAGTCCCTTTAATCTAGCTGGAAGAAAAGTAGATGTGCTGACCTGAGCAGCCTCAGAGAGGGAAGCTGCAGCCGAGCACAAATGAGCTCACTAGCGCAGAGAAGGAGCAGGAGAGGCGGGAGCAAGGGAGCCAAGCACATGTATATTGATGATACCTTGGGTGTAAGTGCCGCTAAGGGAATGCTTGTGTGAGAATGCGTGTGTGGCACACAATTGCTACAATTTTTCAGGGCAAAATAGCAAACCTCTGCGAGGTAGTACATTACCAGGGGTGTTTTTGACCGGCCACTCAAATCTGACTTTTGCTATGAAGCCCCGTTTTTTATTTCGAGATCTCAACCGCTCCGCTGTTGTGTCACATTCAGGAAGTTGTTGTCAACGAGGATCCAAAAGGGGCTTAAGAGTTAAACAGTGCACAAAATGTGATTTTTATTTATGCAGCATTTGTCTGGCTCGATGCAGCACTGCCGCAAGGTGGATAGAAAGTCTATAAAAAAAATGTTTGCACTGTGGTTGAGAGGAAAGTAATTTCATCTGTGCTGTATGTTGCACATAGAGCATTTTTGACAATAAAGCTTGACTTGACTTGAATTATTTCAGAGGAAAAAAAAAGTATGAAGTTTTATTTTGCTCAGCGCCTGGAACATTTGTTTCTTTATGATTTTATACAAACATGCTGTTTGAAAAGGAAAAAGGACAATTTCAGTGTTATTTTTTTCTCCCCCGTTCACTTTACTTTTATATTACTTCACATCTATGTTTGAATATTTACGGTCTTGTACAAGCAAATGCAAACGACCATAAAAGCGGAATTCCAATAGTAGAGGAATACATTTGTCATTCCAGGATATTGCTGATACATATTGTAGAGATGCTTAACTAAGCACATTTAATTTCTCAATGTCTTTATTAGAACACATTTGAAAAAAAAACACGAAAATGGACATTCCACAGTTAAACTGACATTTGTGTGATGAAAGATTGGCATTCATGTTTGTATATTTTATGGGCCAGTTGTTCAAAAATGTAATCTGGATCAAAATGATACCGATTTGGAAGTGCAATTTTTTTTCAAACCAGGATCGGTTTAATCTGTTTTACCCTGATGATGGTTTTTCAAAGCAATATTAGGTTCGATCTCCCTGATCCAGAAACACCATTTTCAAGATAATCGGCGCATGAAATGGGACAATGTATCACATGAGTATTGTAAAAAAAAAACATGCAGGTAGAAGAGCCAACATGGGGTCACTTTACTTGTTTTTGTTTTGTGACAAAACACCAAAGTAACAAACGCCCACCTCTATTCAAGATTTCTTTTATGATTCCTCGCCTGAACCGCAAAAAATAACAAATATATTAAAACAAACACATTGTGGATATTTTGAAGAAGTCTTAAATTAAAACCAGGCAAAATGTCCAAAAGTTCAAATAAACAATGTTATTTCTTTGAAATTAATATACGGTGATGAATGACATAAATTGAAGATATCATTTTAGTTTGTACTTGAAATGTGTTTGGGGGCTTATCTCGTGGGGAAAGAGAATGTTTATTTGTATTTTATTTTTGATCAAGATAATCCTGTCTGTTATTTATGTATTTATTTATATATCTATTTATTTACTTATTTGATCAGTCAGAATTATCCACACCCTACTGAAATATTTAGAACGTTGCGACTTGATTGATCCAGATTCAAACGTGGATTACATGATCTCATCCGATTTCAGAATCTTTTCCCTTTTGAACAACTAACTCATTTCCAACATTTGATCCAATCCGATCCAAAATCCACTCAGACTGAACAAGTGGCTTCTGCCGATGAAATGTGATATCGAGCCATTCCCAAGGTTCCCAATAAACACAGTAAGGGCAAAAATGAAATCAAGACAAAATATTGACCAACTATATTAAGTCGAAGGAAGCGCTCTGAACCTCAAATACGGGGTGCCCACACTTTTTTTGACTGAAGAGCTCCTTTTCAAGCAACCAACCTCCCACGATCGACCCTTTGCCGCACGTGCACGCATACACAGACGCATGCACGTGCGCACGTATGTAATAATGAGCAACAGCTACAACGACCCCTAACACGAACAAAAAAGAAAAAGAAAGTACATCCAAGAGTTTGTGAAAAGGAACTCAATGCCTACCTGACCCTACTCACAAAAAGTGAGGGACATTTGGCTTTCAGGTGAAATTTCAGGACGGGCCTAAAATGCATTCAAACCTGAACTTAATGTGATCTTCTCTCGGCTTTTGAATGCACATGTCCAACTGTTAAATGTTTCAGTACTTTTCGCACAAATTGCTCTTCTTAATTCACAACAGGCTACTCTTGAATCAACCATTAAATGTCCAGGTTCAATTAGAGCCGGTGCTTAAACAGTCGTCCTCATCATGCTGTTCACATTTTGACATCATGAGACCAAGACAACACCTCACAATGTATCAACAGTACCTTGCCATTGTGATGCTTCAAATAGGACGTTCTCAGACGGAAGTGGCCACTGAGCTTAGAGTGTCACAGAGTGTCATGCAGAAACTGGAAGATGAATGGCACTCAATTCCAGGCACTTTTAATTAAGGGAGGTGAGAGGCACCCAAGTGTCACGCCAGGCCATTCAAAACCGTTTACATCAGCGTGGTCTACGTGCTGGATGACCTACAAGGGCACCTGACCACACGAGCAGGCACAGACATCTCGTCTTGCATGGGCCAGGGAGCATTTACGCTGGACGAGGGACCGGCGGGCCTCAGTGCTGTTCTCTGATGAAAGTCAATTCACGTTGAGCAGAAATGACGTTGGAGACGTCAAGGTGCGCGTATGTCAGCCACTGTTGTCAGCAGACGAGCTTTTGGTGGTGGCGGTGTTCCAGTGTATGTCCAGTCGGTACAGAATTACCGCACACTTTGTGAATGGTACAGTGACAAGCCCATACGATTTGAATAACATGATTCATCCATTCATCCCACTACACGATCGACTCGGGCCAGTCTGCGGGCTACCGGTCGATCGTGATCGACTGGTTGGGCACCACTGCTTAAATACCAAGTGGAATGGAACTCTTTTCTGCTGTTTTATTTTGGCAACAGGCAACAGGCTACTGTAAAAAGCTCGTAGTGAACTGAGATTTTTGCACAATACTGCATTTATATACTGCAATACTGTCGTGGTTCTTAACCTTGTTAGAGGTACCGAACCCAACCAGTTCATATGCACATTCACCGAACCCTTCATTAGTGTAAAATAAAAATATGATTTTTTACACAAAAAAAAACGCATTAATTAAAAACTGAAAAAATATAAACACAATTAATTGTTGTGTAGAAGTTGGATTTTTAAAATTTTTTTTTACTGTGCACAAAATGAACTATTGTCTTTATATATATATATATCACACACACACACACACACACACACACATATATATATATATATATATATATATATATATATATATTTATCTATCTGTTTGTTTGTTTAATTTGTTTAATTTACTTATAACATTGAACAGAAGCACATTATCCCTGGTATAAAATGCCCATGCCGTCCAATGCCACACGTGTCTCATGTTCGCTCTATTTGACTCTTATTGTGTCCCAGTATGAAGATCTGGTGCACTACTCGGGGACGGAGGGCATGTCGATGGGGGTCTACGGGGAGGATGTCAGACCACTTCCTACCCCTCAGTACGGAGCCCCCATCCCCGATTCCCTCAAACACCACAAGGACCAGATCTACGGGTGCGTTCACGTGTTTGAAATCCTATACGGGATTTATGAAAACACTTGAAACCGCCGTGCGCACTTGAAGCGCATTAACATTCAGCCTGTGTTTGTCTTCCCTATGTGACATTTACAGCTGTCACTTTCATCGATACTGTGCTTTCAAATGACTTCTCACACCTCCCGTGAATGTATGGCGTTCACGCTGTGTGTCAACTGTCACCGCGTTTATGTTGAAGTATGTTAACTGTTTGCCTGTGTGTGCAGTCACCCACTGTTCCCACTCCTGGCCTTAGTTTTTGAAAAGTGTGAGCTTGCCACCTGCTCCCCCCGAGACTCCTCCTCCCTATCGGCCACATCCCACCTCCCCGGCATGACAAGTCACAGCGACGTGTGCTCCTCGGAATCCTTCAACGATGACATTGCTGCATTTGCTAAACAGGTGAGGGGCAACTCTGAGAGCCAACGGACGGAAAAAATGTCAAATGCAAACCGGGCTCATTTTGACGCTGTTTCGCAGATTCGTTCAGAGAAACCAATATTTTCTTCAAATCCTGAGCTGGACAACTTGGTAAGACACATGAATGGTTTTTGGAGAAGAAACATCCCAACGATATGTCGCACTTATCGTCAGCTTTCTTTTTTTCATAGATGATTCAGGCTATACAAGTTCTTCGCTTTCATTTGCTGGAGTTAGAGAAGGTTGGTTGACCACCCGTTGTTCACCCGCACATTTGAGATAAGTGCAGAGCAAACATTTTAGGTTAAAAATAATTATAATGAACACAAATAGGGCCAGGACTGTTTTTAATTGAGATGCTGCGGTCAAACGGGCATAAAGGCTTTTGGTTTGTTGGGATAATTTCACTTTAGTAGTCTCAATGTTATGTGGACTGTACATGTGAATATTAAGCAATAGTAGCTGAAAAGTCGATCTTGTATTCTTTCTCAAAGGTGCACGACCTATGTGATAACTTCTGCCACCGTTACATCACCTGTCTGAAGGGCAAAATGCCCACAGACTTGGTCCTGGATGAACGGGAGGGAGGCTCCAAGTCTGACATGGAGGATTTTAACGGATCCTGCACTAGTTTGTCAGAACAGGTGAGACATGACACAAAGTGAGAAGACGCAGAACGAAGAGGAGGAAGGGGAACCTGACATTTGTCTGGCCAATGGCTCTAGGTTTCATGACTCGCTGATTTCACCCCTCCTGCTCTCTCTCTGATTCTGCAGAATGCGTCGTGGTTACGAGAGCCAGATGAATGTGCCACCACTCCTTTGGGAACCCCAGGCACCTGTGGTTTGCCTTCGCACAGCACAGCGGACAACTGTAGTGATACAGGTGCCCTCCTACATGCAATACGCACACACACACACACACACACACACACACACACACACACACACACACACACACACACACACACACACACACACACACACACGCACACACACTCAAAAAAAAAAGAGTTAGCTATGAGTTAGCTCATACCTGTCAACCTCGGCTAATAGCTGCCCTTATAAGTGATTACGATTCCCCTTACAAAGCAACAAAAACCCGTACAACGGCTTACCGCGCATGCGCACATCATGCTTTATCAATCCGACCGTACGCAGCGATGAAAAAAAATATACGATTGAGGATTACTTTTGCTGGTTTGCCCTGACAACAGTAGCGATCGACGACGACATTGTCGTTGGCTACCAGCAGGTGAGACGATCTGGATTTGGGCCAAAATGGTCTTTGCGAGATCGGTTCACAATTGTTTTTTTTTTTTTTCCATATAAAAGTTGTAGTACGCCGTACATGATTTGAAATGATAAAAAAACGTATAAAATACGTGGAAAACGTACAAGTTGACAGGTATGTTAGCTCAACTGTAATGTTCACCCATCTTAGGCTACCAGTATTTACTGACTCGACAGGGACGGATAAGGCATAAGAAAACCATTATTTGTCTCACAATGGAGAAATTCCCAATTTACAGCAAGAAAATTATGAAAGGGAGAAGTAGAAGAACAAAAAGTATATAAATAAATATGAATGATAAAATGTTGATAGAAGCATATTAAAAAAGGGTGCGTGGGGGTGAGTCCAGGTTTTCAGGTCTGTCTATTCAATAGCCTGACAGCAGTCGGCAGGAACGAGCGGCGGTACCTCTCCTGATGAAGTTGGATGTTGTGGCGTCGCTTTTCTTTGAGTTGCAAGCAATCGTCTGTCAAGTTCCCCCGCCCCTGCCTCAGTTTCTGGCACTTTCTCACATTAGGTCGGTACTTTCTCTGCTTCCAGGCGACGGCCTGGACACAGGAGTGGCCTCCCCCAGCACAGGAGAAGAGGACGAGTCTGACAGAGAGAGGAGAAACAACAAGAAGAGAGGCATTTTCCCCAAAGTGGCCACAAACATAATGAGAGCATGGCTCTTCCAGCATCTAACGGTGAGGCATGCTTTCAACCTTTTCTGATCATTATTGCTCATATGAATGGCGAACACCGACAATGGGGCTTGAGCAAATAAAAAGATGATTGCTGAAGGAGAGGATTTTTAGCCTGTAGGTGCAGCTTTACTGACACGGCTGGAAATACTGGAGAGTGGAGCAAGGGGAGGTCAGTTAAATTCAATGAAGACTCGGAGATGAAGCGATTATATGAATATGCTTGCGACTGAATAATTGCGGAAGTGAAATAAATGGGGTGAGTAATTGTCAGACCAGGCTGTAAGATTGGTAATTAGTGACTAAATGAGGCAGGTCAAATGTTGCTTCCCTTCAATTGTGCCACTGTGCGTGTGTGTGTGTGTGTGTGTGTGTGTGTGAGTGACAGACACACACACACACACACACACACACACACACACACACTCGCGCGCATAGATTTGTGTGTTTTCGAAGGGTGAAAATAGGAGAGCCAGGTCATCAGTAGTTACCCTGAGATTTCCCATACTGGTCTTCATTCTGGCTATAAACTAAAACCACTAACCAGCCCACAGAGCCTCCTGCTGTCGAGACGACTGAAATTAACTCACATTTGTAAAGTAAAAAAAAAAAAAAAAAAAAAAAAGCCTTGTGATGTTTCCTTTAGCTGTGTTGTGTGTCCTTTTTCAGCACCCATACCCATCGGAGGAGCAGAAGAAGCAGCTGTCACTGGACACGGGTCTGACCATCTTACAGGTCAACAACTGGTCAGTGTACTACCGATCAATACACCCATTTGACCGCTGCGGTTTTTCAATAATCACTCGGCCTACTTGAAATATATGAATTGTCATTTCTCCAACGCACGGGGTCGTATTATTTGCCGTCAACCATAAAGCCGGCTTCGTCCGCGTTGTTTCGCTTGTTAAAGCTCTGCTGAGGGGATTCTGTCGGATATAGATGTGAATTAAATCAAAGTGCGCCGTTTTTATGAGAGGGCAATGAAATCTAAAAATAAAGCCGGTTTAAAAGGGAGACGAAACATCCCACTAAGCATTTTGGTCCAGGAGCGGCGGTGCAGTAAATTGGACTCACACCCAGTTCATAAAACTTGCATAGCAAATCAATATCCAATATTCAAATTATTTACAGCAAACCCCCATGTCCTGTAAACCCTTTACAGGGCACACGTTGAAATACCTGAAATTCCAACATTTTTGCTTGGGGGATAATTCAAATACAGTGATCCCTCGCTATTATTTATCGCGGCTTCAGTGCATCGCGGATTTTTTCAAACATATTCATAAAAAAATAAAAAACAAAAATAAAAATAATTCATATACATGTAGTACAGTACTGTATATGTTGCTCTATGTGACTCGCTGTTGTTTTGCTGACTTTCGCAGCTTCTTGCGGACCGTTTGCGGACTTTTTACAGACTTAAAAAACAAAAAATATATAAAAATATTTTTTTTTATGTTTACTGCATTTTGTTATTCATAAACTAACCTAATTTATATATGTTTAAATCTATTAGTCTACAGCATTAAGTCATGTTAATGACTTCAAGATGTACTTCTACATGCATGTATACCATTAAATTTGGCCTTATAAATATTATGTACATGTACCTATATGGGGGGGGTCGCTACTTCGCGGATTTTCATTTATTGCGGGTGGTTTTAGTCCCCATTAACCGTGATAAACGAGGGATTACTGTATACATATTGTGTCCATTCAATCGCAACTATTGCAATAATTATACTTAGCAACTTTTTTTGGGCTCGGGACAAGCATGCGATTCTGAAAGTGGTCTCCATTTGGAATTTTTACCCGGCAACTATGGTGCGTTACCTTGGCAATAAAGGGCTACTTTCCAAGGCTACCATCGTTTTTAACAAAACACATTCAGATTCAAAACCTTGATGGATTCACATAACCGCACACGCACACACACACACAGAGCCCGACCATCTCAGCAGATCAATCAGTTGTCACAGCGTGATCAAAACAAGCTCTGTTCAAACGTTGATTTACTTTACCCTCTGAAAGGGTTAAGTGGTTGGAAAAGGGAAAAGGTTAACAGTTTCTCTGTCAGCCTTTTTCCTCCCCAAGCGGACCCCCTTCCATTCTCTCGGCACTCTTTTGTTTCAGGTTTATCAACGCCAGGAGGAGAATCGTTCAGCCCATGATCGACCAGTCAAATCGCTCAGGTTCGTGTTTCCAAGTCAGCCAGCGTTGGCCGTCCGTCCCTTTTGGCTGTGGACTGAGGTTGTGGATATTTTGGCCCCCGACAGGTCAGGGTGGTCCCTACAGCCCAGAGGGAGCAGCTCTTGGTTACGGACTTGACGGACAAGCCCACCTCGGCCTCCGAGCAGCAGGTAAACTACAACGTCACGGACGCGTTGATGACTAAAAGCCATCAGACAAATTCAAGCGCGGTGGACTGTGGTTAAAAAAAACACACTCTGAATAGACGCCGTAGTTTTTCCTCAAATACAGAAATGAGTTCTGCAAGTAATGATGACTTTAATTTTTATTTAACGACATGTCATAGAGTGCACGCACTCTGTTTTCAGACAAATTCAAGCGCGGTGGACTGTGGTTAAAAGAAAACACACTTTGAATAGACGCCGCAGTTTTTCCTCAAATACAGAAATGAATTCTGCAAGCAATGATGACTTTAATTTTTATTTAACATGTCATAGAGTGCACGCACTCTGTTTGAGTCAAGGATTGAGCGTACATTGAAGCGACTTTTTATTTGGTCTCTACGACTACAATAAATAATACATTGACATTTTCAACAGGAAATAATCTGAAAGCCTCCTTGTAGTAAAATAGTAAAATGTACAAATGTTAAGTGATATGGATGTCGTAAAATACAGCAAATCCGGCAAAAATAATGCCGATTAAGCCGATAAGAATGTCTCTAAGTGGACCAACTTATTTCAACTCTGGCAGAAGCATAAAAATGTGCATCGCTGCCATCGGGCGGAATCCTCATACGTCTAAAATCAGAGAAGAATGGGGAAGATTCGCTTTTTGCTGGGGTCGGGATGAAACCTTCTATCTAAAAATTGGGGCTAATTTCCTAATTTTTCCCCCCTCACACGTATAACATTGGTCAGTCCATACATATGAGCAGGGGCGAAGCGACCATGGACAATTTGGGGAAAATATGTTAATTTTCCAGTAGAGAAGAATGGGGAAGATTCGCTTTTTGCTGGGGTTGGGATGAAACCATCTATCTAAAAATTGGGGCTAATTTCCTATTTTTTTCCCCCCCTCACATATATAACATTGGTCAGGCCACACATATGAGCAGGGGCGAAGCGGCCATGGACAATTTGGGGAAAATATGTTGATGCCGGATTATGCCATCGCGGCCGCTATCAGACAACCACTAGAAGGGAAAGACAGCAGAACAAAAGCCACTTTAGGGTGGATCTGAAGTGCCATTTGATAGTTGAAATAATATGGAGCAATCATTTGGACAACAGCCACAGTTAGCACATTCTCCCAGGACAGCTCCAACTTCCACAACAAGCTCATGTGTCTGTACTGTGTGTATATGGGCGTTTTGTCATGCCAAAGTGGTTGGCGTGCTCAAATTGTGACCCATATCCCTTCTCTGCCACCTCATGCAGGTCTTCAAGGGATGCCGTCTCTGCAGGGGGACTACTCCGGGGCTCTGCTATCCCAAGCAGCCTATCCAGCCCACCCAGGACCTTCCATCCACCCCTACCCGGGCCCGCACCCGCACGCCGCCATGCTGCTTCACCCGCCGCCACACGCTCACACCACTGAGCCCCTCCTTGCACAAGGACTGGACATCCATGCACACTAGCTGTGGAGGGCGTCTGTGTGTGTGTGTGTGTGTGTGTGTGTGTGTGTGTGTGTGTGTGCGCGTGAGATGATTTCAACACACTATTTAAAGAAAACAAGACTAATTGCTCCAAGAGTTTACATTCCCTACCCAAAGACAATGACCTCAATGTAGCTCTCTCTCTCTCTCTCTCTCTCTCTCTCTCTCTCTCTCTCACACACACACACACACACACACACACACACACACACACACACACACATACACACACACTGGTTTAAGCCATACCTCTCTCCGAGTAGAAGTGCTTCCTCCGCTCCCATCGCCTTCACTGTGTCCTGTGGATGAGACCAATGCTTTAACGTTGATATCCCGCCACGCGTGTTGTTGGACCACCGCAAGAGACGATTGGATGACAGACCAATATTTATCACCAGACATGTTTTTACACTACAAAGACATTAACTGGATGCGCCTCGATCCTGTGACCATGCCTTCTTCAAGCTCTGTCTTCCTGCACAAGTGACTGCCCAGAAAACACACACACACACACACACACACACACACACACACACACACACACACACACACACACACACACACACACACACACACACACACACACACACACACACACACACACACTTTTCTCCCACTCTTTATTTAAGGCTTATCTGAGTTTTTATTCTATTTTTGTATTTATGTGAGCCACTCACGGCAGTTGCAGTTTGACCCACGCTTGTTTGAAATCTTCGTTGCTCGTCCTCAGCATGAAGCTAAACACGATGAATGACTTCCAGTCTGCCTCGCTCTCATACCACTTACCTCCTTAATATGCCAACGGGCGTACGTTGCACGAGCGCGCGCGCACACACATACACACACACACACACAGACACACGTGCACGCGCACACGGTGGAGACAAGCTCTTCAAGCTTTTGCATACGTGTTGTGTGTCGCAGCAGTGAGACGGGAGCTGCAGCCAAAGGACTTTAAACACTCTGCTCCCGATCAACTCTGCTCTGCTCGGACTGCATTGAAAAATATTTCTGAATGAATGATATGGTCAAAGAATTAAAATGTTTTTTTGTACCACATGTGGATGGGTCATTTTTCTGTGTGGACTGCACTTATTAAACACTGAACTTATCTCGACACCAAACAAATACAAAAATGACAAGCTTTTTTTCCCTGCAAAATTACAGCCTTTGCTTTGTGAAAATTGCATCGCACTACATTGCAAGGTCCATTTGAATTCTTTTGAATTGTTCAGCACGACTCAGGGCTACGCGCCTGTTAGCATACAGCCGTTAGCTGGGGACGCTAACCACCAAGCGCGTCAGAAGAGGAGACAGCGGAAAGCCGTCAGGAACCAACAAGCAAGATCTGCCCCACGAGTTCTCATTCTAACAAAAGCTCTCCATTGGCCCAGCAGTATGTCGGGTGGGATGAGTGCTGTCGCACTGCACGAGACAGCCAATTTCACCCCTGGATAAAATGTCCCTGTTTGGATGCTTTGATGACAGAATGTCACAGACATGCTTTGGGAAGTCTTTTAATTGGAATACTTGTCTATCTTTTACATCGTGAGTCCAGGGGAAGGCTCTATCTCTCAAATAATACGTCCTCACGCGTTCCTCTCATAAAGAAACGTGCATTCACCCCTCAAACCTAAAGAGCCCCCTCAGACCTCACCCTGCCCCCTAGTGGGGCCTGAGGCAGCAGGGGGGGTCAGGGGTTGCAGTTCAAACTGAGGTCAACAGGAAATGACTCTTCTCCCTGGTACCGAGGTCCCGACCTCAGCGCCCCTACACCTCCCTTACACAACGTTCTCACTCACTATTTTACCGCCTCACTGTAGTGCCTGCTTGCTTGTCCCGATCCAAAAGTTTTGTCCGCTTGCTTCAATCAACCACAAAGGTCATACAGGATATTCATGTCATAAAAATGATCATTGTCGTTTTAAGCTACAACTGACAGCTTGCCCTGAAAATCTTCAAGCAATAAAATGATTGCAAAAATATTAAATTGATTGCATTGAAGGCTGGCTAAACTATATGATTGTTGTCAACATTTCAGTCTTTTAATGTTAGTGCAATAAATAAAAATACATTGAAATAATAAAAATCTGTCATTGTGATGGAAAAAAATTATGATTTCATTATCTTAATTTTTTTTTTTTTTGCACAACCTTTTGTCACTGCAATGAAGAGATTGAAACTTGTATACTCCCTATGGCATGTCTCGAGTTTGAAGCATGCCTTCTCCAAGCATGCAGCTTCTCCCATCAAGGCTGTACAAAATTTAGATCAGGACTCACCGAAAGTCACTTTAGAATTGTCCCATGAATTGCTTCAAAGCCATTTTGTGTGCGTTTTTAGCCGTGCGCTTCATCCTGTTTGAATCCCCAGGACCTGCGGTACATCCCGAACCTTCGAACAAAATGCCTTTCTGGCCTTGAGAATTCATTGTAGCCTGCACAGATTTAAGACACCTTGTTCCAATTGCAGCAGCAAAGCTGTTCGACAGCATAACCGAGCCTCCTCCAAAGTGATCTAGTGCAGTGTTCTTTCCTGCCTCATTTTATGCACCCTTTTACATGAGATGATGCGATGTGCCGGAAAGTCATGTTTGTTTCTTCTGTCCAAAGGACATTCTCCCAGAAGCATGGTGATTGTCCACAAATAATACGCCAAATTCCAGTCTCAAGTTATTTCAGCAACCATTCTATTTTTTATTTTTTTTCCTGCATGTAGTTCGAGTTTTTTGTTCGCCTGTGCCTGTGGGCAAAGTAAAGAACGCTGTGCCTACTGTGAAACAATGAGCCAGCTCTGTTTTGTTGCGGGACTACTTTGCTGCATTGGGCGCAGAGTGTCTTCAGTCTGCGCTGTATAAAATGAAACAAGGCATCCTGGAGTGAAATGCGCCCTATGTCAGAAAAGCTCCCGCCTGGGTCCTCCAACAGCAAAAATCCCCCAAGAATGGCTGAGAATTAGACATCGGACTTTTTTGAACTGCCCGTCTTTAAATCCTGATCAAAATCTAAAAAAAGATTTCAGTGACCTTTGTTTTGGGGTTTTTATTTCTTCATCAGCACTCATTCCCAACCCTCCTATATTTTGTTCTTCTACTTCTTCCTTTCATAACTTTGCTGCTGTGAATTGGGAATTTCTCCATTGCAAGACTAATAAAGGATTTCTTGTCTTATCTTATTTAAGTATCTTAACTCATTCACTCCCAAAGACGTTTTTAAACGTCTTTTCAGACTTTGTCTAGAATTGGCTGGTACTGAATGAGTTAATAGCGTGGACTATAGTTTATAGCTGAATCATCCGTCATATGAAAAGGCAACGTATTTTCCAATATTAATCCAGTGAAAGCACTTTGTATCAATATCCATCTGTGAGCTTGCGCGTCACAACTCGGGAATTTGTCTTGCACTGAAAACTCAAAGGATAGTCAAAAACATTGAAATTATTTTTCCATATCAGTCGCAATGCATCATGGGGTACATTGCTTTTCTAGTGACCATCAGTCAGTCACTATTTTTCAAGATGCAATGTGGGCACTATGTGGGGGACAATCTCTACTCACTGCACATTTGAACAGCACAACAGATTCATTATATAGGGCGCTTTATTAATGTATGTGGCGTGATTCTGAGTGTGTCTATTCGATTCTATTCTATTCTAGAGCCACACTCCACACAGACACATCTGATAAAATCCTCAGGAAATAGTTATTAGCGAGGAAGTAAACCTGAGGTGAACCTGATCTTTTTAAGTGTAGTGCTCGGTCACTCACGTGTTGTATGAGTGTACGTTGGCCAGGCGATAGATTGATCCCACAACCTGCCTTGGACACTGCAGCAAATGAAACGTTATGTGAACAAATGGAGGCTACTCCAGGAGGAGGAGGAAGGTAATGAAAACTATTCATGGTTGTTGTCGCATATTGTGTGCATGTGTGCGCCTGTGTGTGTGTGTTTTGCTGTACAAGAAGGTGAAAGGTTATTGGAATGGGAATCGAACTCACTCACTCTGAAACTTCCAAACAAATGGCAAATCAACAGTCAGATTCTGTATTTTTATTTCTTTGAGTGCGCAGCAATTCTCCAATTGCGAATGACGTTCCATCATTGGTTTGAATGTAATGCTTGGCAATGGTCTGTATGTAATGTGCATGGCCGATGTTTGAGGGCGTAAATAGGTGCATGTGTGTGTGTGTGTGTGTGTGTGTGTGTGTGTGTGTGTGTGTGTGTGTGTGTGTAGAGGGCCTACTCTGTTGGTCATTAATCATTCAATTACATACCTGTCAAGAGTTCAGACAAGAGGGAGAGGAGGGTGAGGAAGGGACTTCAAGGGAGGGGGTAACTGAGGGAGTGGGCGGTGGATGGAAAGACTAAATGAAGAGATGAATGCAGAAGGGAATAGAGGAAAACAGCAACAAGGAGTTGCATAAAAGAGAGAGGTGAAAAAGGACAGGGCGGAGGTTTCGAAAGCAAAAGGCGCTTTATTTGTGTGAGTGTGTGAGTGAGTGTGTGTGTGCGTGCAGGCGGCAGGGGAAAGCTGTTGGATGGTGACAGCCGTTGAAAGATCACAGTGGAAACGGGCTCGTCCACGGTTTATGTGGGATGGTCCCACATCGGCCTCTTACGACTCCTTAGCACGACAACTGTTTGCTTTTTGCTAATGCTATCATGACCGCTTCAATGGCACAGATTTGATGAGGGGGAAAAAAAACACATACATGATGCTGATTATCATCATCGGAATTAGTGCTTTGGTTGACTCCGTCTGACCTCATCTTGTGCTAAACTGAAGGCCTGATATTAAAATCACCGGAGTGTCCCTTCATCGCTTTGGGTGTATGGGCAAAAGTTTTTCCTGAATTCAAATGTCATATTTCCCGAAAAGATTTTATTAATGTGCAAAATAGGGAATTTGAGTCACCCATGAATTTTCATTTATTTGTGATGAACCATTGCCCTCTGTACAGTAAAAGTTTGTAAGCGCGCGCACACACACACACATACACACGCACACTCACGTGGATGTGTGTGTTATGCAGTCTTCACAATCGAGCTGCAGTACCTCAGATGCCTTAGGGCACAGCCATCTGTGGTAACCCCCCCCCCCCACACTCCCATTTTACACACACTCTCGCTCATACACACACAGTCATATATCTAATTCATGAATGTGGTGAGTATTTTAGACGCACACTCATGTATGCATAATATATTGCATATGAAATATATGGTGGGGCGACCATGCGCCAGTCTTGTTCTGATCATTCATTCTCATTCTCCTTTTAACACATCCTTAAGTTTTGCTTGTGTGTGTGTGTGTGTGTGTGTGTGTGTGTGTGTGTGTGTGTGTGTGTGTGTGTTTTGCCAGCTGTTTCGGTGCTTGACATCAACATGCAGGCAAAAAGCCAGATGTCTCATTAGGCAAATTTGATTGGCTTGGTCATTAAGAATTCAGCGATAAGATGTTTCCATATGCGTGTACATTGAGCTGTTTGTGTGTAACATTTACATAAGTGCCCCTGCGTATAACTATTTACATGTGTTTGTGCGTCATTTATGTGCATTCATGAGGATATTGGATACATACATGCTGTTGATTACATCGTGATTGATAACAGAATTGCAATGCAATGTGTTTCTAGTCCTGGTACATATATTTTCTTTTCCAAAATGACTTGTTGGGGGCAAATGTACTTGTTCCAGAGGTAGGTGGAGAGCAGCTGAGTGAAGCGGGGTGGTGGGGGAGTGGGGTTGGTTATGGTCTGGGGTAATCATGTATGAGTTTTTAAAAATTATTATTTTGCGTATATGTTTGTATGTTTCTGGTTATGGTCTGGGGTAATACTGTATGAGTTTTAAAAAATTATTATTTTGTGGATATGTTTGTATGTTTCGTCTTCATGTAATGAAATGTACCAAACCGAAGCAAAGCCGTTTAACCCTTTCAGGAACAGCGGTTACCACAGTGGACAGCTAATCATGTTATCAGGTTACTTGGTGCATGAAAGGAATTAAGTAATTTCACTTGGGCTTTTAGGTCCATTTTATGTCTGGACTCAATTTCAG